ACCGTGTCGTGACCGGGGGCTCCGCGGGGCCCGGAGCATCAAGCCCGGTTTTCTCTCCCGTTCAGGTTCCGGCCCTTCGTGCCCCACATCCCCTTCGATTTCTATGTCGTGAGTAACTCCTGCAATTCCCGGGGATTTTTCCAGGATTTTTGTGGGATTTGCCACYTTCCATCGCTGATTTTGGGGGGTGTTTGGGTTTTCGTGGTGTAGCTGAACTGAATTAATTCCCTGAAAATGCTGTTGGTTCGGTTAAAAACCCAAACTGAGGGATTTTATTCCTGTTGGAAAAGGGAGAATGGGACACAAATGATTTATTTTGGGGATTTTAACAGATAAATCTCTGGGATGAGGTTTGTCCCCTTCCTTCAGGTGTTTTCTTGATTCTTTCCCATTTTTCCAGGAGAAAATCATTCCCCCCTCCCAAATTCTGCCCTTTCCACAGGTGACTCCAAAGCAGTTGTAGACAAAAAGGGGGTTAATGAATCAATTTATTGAATTTATTTTTTAATAGAATTAATAAAACCCTCCAGATCAGCCACAGGGGTGGGAACTCCTGGACACGGTGGAGCTCCTGTAGGGTCAGAACAGGGAATTGTGCCAGGGATAATTCCCGTGGGGAATTCTGTCCCATTGCAGAGAGATAGAATAATTTTTTGTCCCATTGCAGTGTGAGATGGAATAATTTTTCTGTCCCATTGCAGTGTGAGATAGAATAATTTTTTCAATAATTTTTTCCATCCCGTTGCAGTGTGAGATGGAATAATTTTTTTCTGTCCCATTGCAGTGTGAGATGGAATCGTTTTTTCAATATTTTTTTCCATCTCGTTGCAGTGTGAGATGGAATCATTTTTTGTCCCATTGCAGTGTGAGATGGAATTTTTTTTTGTCCTGTTGCAGTGTGGGATGGAGTAATTTTTTTAATAATTTTTTCCGTCCTGTTGCAGTGTGAGATGGAATAATTTTTTCAATAATTTTTTCTGTCTTGTTTCAGTGTGAGATGGAATAATTTTCTGTCCCGTTGCAGTGTGAGATGGAATAATTTTTTCAATATTTTTTTCCATCCCATTGCAGTGTGAGATGGAATAATTTTCTGTCCCGTTGCAGTGTGAGATGGAATCATTTTTTGTCCAGTTGCAGTGTGAGATGGAATAACTTTTTCCATCCCGTTGCAGTGTGAGATGGAATGATTTTTTCAATAATTTTTTCAATTTTTTTTTCCATCCCGTTTCAGTGTGAGATGGAATGATTTTTTCAATAATTTTTTCAATATTTTTTTCCATCCCGTTTCAGTGTGAGATGGAATGATTTTTTCAATAATTTTTTCAGTATTTTTTTCCACCCCGTTTCAGTGTGAGATGGCTTTTCCCCGTGTCAAACCCGCGGCTGATGAGACGGCGTTCAGCGAGGCTCTGCTCAAGAGGAACCAGGACCTGGCTCCCACCGCTGCCGAGCAGGTGCCCTSAATCCCCCAAAATCCTCGGGATGGGGCTTGGGGATTCCAAAATCCTTCAGGAGTGGCCTAAAAATGAATGAATTCTCTCCTGGTTTGTGGGGAATAACAGGGGTTTTGTGGTGTGGAGATGGGATTATTCCTGGTGGGGATTAATTCCGTATCCCGTTCATTTCCAGGCTTCCATCCTGTCCCTGGTGACAAAGATCAATAATGTCATCGATAATTTGATTGTGGCGCCGGGGACGTTTGAAGTGGTGAGAGCAGGAGTTGGGAGCGAAGCTCCGTGGGGAGATGCCCCCGAACGCAGCCCCTGGGTGGAATTCCTGCGATTTTGGGGTCGCTCTCCCCGCAGCAAATCGAGGAGGTTCGCCAGGTGGGCTCCTACAAGAAGGGCACCATGACGACGGGGCACAACGTGGCGGATCTGGTGGTGATCCTSAAGATTCTGCCCACCCGTGAGTGTCACTGGGTAGGATGGGAGTGGCCTCGGCTCCTGGATCTGCTCTGAACCTTCCTCCTCCTCCTCCTCTTCCTCTCCTTTTTGCAGTGGAAGCCGTGGCAGCCTTGGGGAACAAGGTGGTGGAGAGYCTGCGGGCGCAGGACCCCGGTGAAGGTGGGTGCTGAGAGCTGCGGCCGTTCCTGGTTCCCGTGGAGCTCCATGCGCAATTCCTGGAGCTTGGGCGCAATTCCTGTGGAGCTCCACGTGCCATTCCTGGAGCTCGGGAGCAATTCCCGCGGAGCTCCATGTGCAATTCTTGGAGCTCGGGAGCAATTCCTGTGGAGCTCCACGTGCCATTCCCGTGGAGCTCCATGCGCAATTCCCGCAGAGCTCCACGTGCCATTCCCAGAGCTCGGGAGCAATTCCCGCGGAGCTCCACGTGCAATTCCCAGAGCTCAGGAGCAATTCCCGCGGAGCTCCATGCGCAATTCTTGGAGCTCAGGAGCAATACCCGCGGAGCTCCATGCGCAATTCTTGGAGCTCGGGAGCAATTCCTGTGGAGCTCCACGTGCCATTCCCGTGGAGCTCCATGCGCAATTCCCGCGGAGCTCCATGTGCCATTCCCAGAGCTCGGGAGCAATACCCGCGGAGCTCCATGCGCAATTCTTGGAGCTCGGGAGCAATTCCCGCAGAGCTCCACGTGCAATTCCCAGAGCTCAGGAGCAATTCCCGCGGAGCTCCACATACAATTCTCGTGGAGCACCACATGCAATTCCCGCGGAGCTCCACGCGCCATTCCTGGAGCTCGGGAGCAATTCCCGTGGAGCTCCACGTGCCATTCCCAGAGCTCGGGAGCAATTCCCGCAGAGCTCCATGTGCCATTCCTGGAGCTTGGGAGCAATTCCTGTGGAGCTCCACGTGCCGTTCCTGAAGCTTGGGAGCAATTCCCGCGGAGCTCCACGCGCCATTCCCGCGGAGCTCCACGTGCAATTTCCGGAGCTCCGTGCGCAATTCCTGCGGAGCTCCACGTGTAATTCCCGGAGCTCCACACACAATTCCAGTGGAGCTCCATGCGCCATTCCCGGAGCTCCACGTGCCATTCCTGGAGCTCCACACACAATTCCTGGAGCTCAGGAGCAATTCCCGCGGAGCTCCACGTGCCATTCCCGGAGCTCCGCGTGGCATTCCCAGAGCTCAGGAGCAATTCCCGTGGAGCTCCATGTGCCATTCCCGGAGCTCCACACACAATTCCAGTGGAGC